TCTCGGCCAGGGGCTTCACTGACTAGTCTTTGGACCGGGCCCCCTGGTGATGCGTCGCGCTTTTGTGCCTGGGGTTGCTTGGCATGTGTTCGCCACACCTCCGCGGACAAGATCTCGCCTCGCGCCATTCCCTATGTCTTCCTTGGTTTCCCAGAGGACTCGTCTGACTTCACCTTTTACCACCCTCCCCTTCACTGGTTCTTTGACTCCCTTTACGTCCGTTTTGACGAGTCAGTCCCCTACTACACCCGGTACCCGTGACGAGAGTTCCTCCTCCCCCTCTCTTCTTGACTACCACTCCCCCTCCGGCTCCTCAGGTACAGCCTCTCCCCCCTGGTCCAGCCCCATCAGGTGTGTTACACGCTACCCCCCCCCCCCCTCGGTAGCCCCTCAGGTCTCTTGCCCTCCACACAGTCACCGCAGAAACCGTTAGCACTTCCTCGGGAGGCTGTTGTAGACTGTGAGGGTGCGGGTGTCCGTAGCGCGGACCCTGGAGGTGCTACCTCCGGGGTTTCTGGAGTTGGAGCTAAGCCCGGGTCTGCAGGAGGTTCTAGTCTTCGAAGAGCTGGTGTTATTTGAGCTGTCTACGACTGGGGGTGCGGGTGGCCCCTGTGCTGGACCTGGAGAGCCTGGGCCTGGCCGCATTGCTGCTGGTGGTGCTGGCTCTGGGGGTGGTGCAACTAGTGCCTTGGAGAGTGGTCCTGGGGCTACCATCGCCCCGGACACTACTCCTCCCCCCCACCCCTACCCGGCCTGGCACCATGCCCGTCTTCGCCGTGCACGTGAGGAGCAGCTGGAGTTGAAGCGAGAGGGGCTGGAGTTGGAGCGGCAGCAGTTGGAGCTACAGCAGACAGCAGTTGGAGGAGCGGCAGCAACAGCAGCAGGTGCAGCAGCCGCCGCAGCAGGAGCAACAGCAGCAGCAGCTCCAGCAATAGCCGCCGCGGCAGGAGCAGCAACAGCAGCAGCCGCCGCAGTAGGAGCAACAACAGCCGCCGCCTCCGCCTCCTGTCTTTGGCCTTCGGGCCCTCGGTCTTCCCTCTCCCTCTCCTGCCTCCTCCCCCTCTCCTCCTGTCTACAGTCTCACGCTTCCTCCTCTTGACTACAACCCAGCTGTTTTCCCCCGTTCTCAACCTCCGTTGTCACCTCCTCTTTCTCACACATGGGCTTCTTGCTCTCCTTAAGCTCGTCCCTCGTCCCCTGTCCCTGTCACTGACCTTCGTACTGTCTTGTTCCGTCCTAGTCCGCCTCGGTCATCTCTGTTTATGCTTCCTTCTTCTCTTGAGTCGGCCCTCACTGCTTCCCTCTCTACTCCTATCACTGACTACTACCGCAAGTACCGTCCTGTTCTCTCTCGTACTCTCGCCTCTCTTGTTACAAACCCTCGAGCCTCTCTATCCTCTATCTCCGCCCTTACTGCCGCTATCACTGAGTTCACCGCTACTCGCCGCCTTGACTACGCCACTTGCCTCGCGGCTGATCCTCCGACCAGTCCTCTAGTCGTCGCGGGTGAGTCTGCCCTGGGCTGTGACGCCCTACAGGACACGCAGTTTGAGCTAGAGTTCCTAATAGCCACTTCCCCTCATCTTTGTGCCATACCGCTCGCCCCTGAGGGAGACCCCGACGCCCTGGACATATCGACTCCTCGCACTTACGCTGAGGCAGTGTCAGGGCCGTGGGCCTCTCAGTGGAGAGTTGCCATGGACTCAGAGATGGCCTCCTATAGATCCACAGGTACCTACGTCGACGAGGCTCCTCCCCCTGACGCAAACGTAGTCGATGGTATGTGGATCTTCAAGGAAGTGAACACCGGGATCTCCTCTGGTCTTCAAGGCGCGCTATGTGGCTAGAGGTTTCAGTGAGCGCGAGAAAGTTGACTTCTTTCAGACCTTTGTGCCTACTTGAAGATGACTACTCTTGGGGTGTTACTGCACTTAGCAGCACAGAGAGACTATGAGTTACTCTCTCTCCACTACCTTCCTTCAGGGTAGCCTACACGAGGAATTCTATTTGCGTCGTCCCTCTGCCTTCATTGGCACTTTCCCACCTAGGACCCAGTGGAGGCTGAGGCGACCGGTCTACGGTCTCTGTTAGGCACCTTGTGAGTGGCACGACACCCTTCGCTCTACCATGTCTGACCTCGATTTCTAGCTGTCTTCTGTTGACCCGTCGCTGTTCGTTCATCATGGCTCTACACCATTCTTGTACTGGTCTACGCCGACGACCTGGTTTTTGCCACTGCTGACAGGGTTGCTTTGGCTGACGTAAAGTCTGAACTATAGAAGAGACACAAGTGCACTAACCTTGGTTAGCTGCGCCACTACATTGGCCTGCAGATCACCAAGGACAGGGCCGCTCGCACCATTAAACTCTCACATTCACACATGATGCAGCAGGTCCTTCAACGGTTTGAGCTTCAGCACTCAGCAGTACAGCGCACACCTCTTGCCGTTGACCATAGACTCACTGGTCCCTTTCCTGACGAGTCGTTTGAGCCTATTGGTCCCTACGCAGAGCTTGTGGGCTGCCTCATGTACATGATGACTTGTAATCGCCCGGACCTCGCCTTCCCTTTCAGCATCCTTGCTCACTTTGTTGCGCCAGGGAGACACCGTCCTGTTCACTGGACAACTGTTGTGAGGGTGGCAAAGTTCCTAGTGACGACATCAGGCGTGGGGCTGGTACTTGGAGGGACACAGCTTGTCGTACTTAGTGGTCACTATTACACTGATGACGCTGAGACTCACATGTCTACTCTTCTCACATGACGCTTCAGCGTGAGCTCTGAAGCTGTTTCGTGGAGGTCCACGCGTTCCTCTTTTGTCTCAACCTCTACTGCTGAGGCTGAGATCTACGCTGGAGCCATGGCTGCACAGGAGCTTCGCACCGACCTTGTTTACTGACAACAAGGCTACGATTCTCTTCTGTCGAGAGCCTTGATTGGCGAGCAGAGTGAAGCACATCAACCTCAGGTACTACGAGTGTTGCAGAGGCGTGGACAGGCTCGCTTGGACTTCGTGGAATCCGAGGCCAACGCTGCAGACATCTTCATCAAGGCTCTTCCGCCTTATGACCACCATATGTGATGTGTGCAGTTAGGTCTCGTTGACACAAGTTCTCGTCTTGTGTAGACTTTGCATGTTCTGCTCTACACTTTGCGTATAACTCTGTGAACTCTTGAACTGGCCTTGTGACTCTTTCGCATATGCTCGGACTGTGTGGTGACGTTGTGATCCACCTTGAGCTCTGTTCTTTTGTGACTGATCTTGTTACCGTTCGGTTTTGGTTTTGCTTAACACCTCTCACTTAGGCTAAGGGGGTGTGTCAAATGTTGTAGCCTTTGGTGATGCGTGTCATACGGGGTACCGCAGTTAGGGATAGGTTTGACTACCCCAACCCACAATAGTCAAACATCATCATTCGGTTTCTGACATCTAGAACCTAGTGAAGAGTGTACCTGAGTAATCTTCCATGAAGGAAACTTTTGAGGCGAGTCAAGGTGACTATTGACTTTAGAGTCGATTCAAGGTGACTTTTGACTTTTGAGTCGACTCGAGATGATTTTTTTGCTTTTGAGTGGACTCACGGTGACCTGTGACTTTTGAGTTGACTCAAGGTGACCTGTGACTTATGAGTCGACTCAAGGTGACTTTTCACTTTTGAATCGACTTATGGTGACTTTTGACTTTTGACTCGACTCAAGGTGACTTCTGACCATTGAGTCGAGTCAAGGTGACTTTTGACTTTTGAATGGACTCGAGGTGAATTCTGACTTTTGAGTCGTCTCAAGGTGACTTTCGACTTTTGAATCAATTCAAGGTGACATTAAATTTTGAGTCGACTCAAAATGACTTGTGACTTTTGAGCGACTCAAGATGACTTTTGACTTTTGAGTCGACTTAGAGTGACTTTTAATTTTATTACATCTCCAGAATTGGGACAACCCAAGGCTCACCACCCAAATTTGGTGTCAAACTTATATCATATAGCTTGTCAAGGCTATAGTGGGGTAGACACTATGGGGTATAGTTTCCTAGGGTTTCCTACTTGTACCCAACCTTGTGCTAGTTCATTCATTCCTCATTTCTTCACATGGTATAGAGCAGGTTCCCTAGTGGGAACGCTACCTAGGGCCCACCACGATTTTCTTTTCCTGCCCGGAGTGCGCTTTGCTCCTGCCCGAGTCGCGCCCCGTGTGCCCTCCCTACCGTCGCGCCCTCTCACGGCCCCTCACGGCCCCTTCACGTCGCCCTTAGTGGCCCCTCTCACGGCCCCTCGCGCCGCCCTTACGGCCCCTTACGGCCCCTCGCGCCGCCCGACGGCCCCTCGCGCCGCCCTTGCGGCTCCTTACGGCCCCTCGCGCCGCCCTTACGGCCCCTCGCGCGGCCCCTTTCGGCCCCTCGCGGCGCCCTTATGGCCCCTTACGGCCCCTTACGCTGCCCTTCGCTGCCCCTCGCGACCTCTTTACGGCCCGTCGCCACCCTTCGCGGCACCTCGCGTCGCCCTTCACGGCCCCTTTGCCGCCCTTCCCGGCCTCTCGCGGCCATGTTGCCGCCCTTCGCGGCCACCTCGCCACCCTTAGCGGCCCTTGCTGCCGCCCCTAGCGGCCCCATCGCCGCCTCTACCGGCCCCTTCACCGCTGAGCCGCCCAGCAGCTGAGCCGCCAAGCCGCCCAGCGACCGAGCCGCCGAGCCGCCCAGCAACCAAGCTACCGAGCCACCCAGCAGCCGAGCCATCCAGCAACCGAGCTGCCGAGCCGCCCAGCAGCTGAGCCGCCCAGCAGCCGAACCGCCGAGCCGCCCTGCCGCCGAGCCGCCTAGCAGCCGAGCCGCCAAGCCGCCGAGCCGCCCAGCAGCCGAGCCGCCAAGCCGCCGAGCCGACGAGCCGCCCAGCAGCTGAGCCGCCCAGCAGCCCTGCCGTTGAGCCGCTACTGTTCCTACCAGCGCGCCCCGGCCCTACTTACTCAGACTGGTGAGATCCCTCCCTGCTAGGCCACTGTAGTCATGGCTACCCCCAGTGTCCTTACCTTTGATGATGAGGGTCGTGCAGTTGACTTTGAGGTCTGGGTCGATGACCTCCAGCTACTCCTACAGTGCGATAGGGCTGACGGACTCTTGCTATTCGATCTCACCTCTGGTGCCTCTCCTGCCCCGCCTGCTACTGCCAACAGCACTGTTCGCTCATAGTGGGCCACACGCGATGGTGCTGCCCGTCTTGCTGTGCGTCGCCACTTACCGACCACTGAGCGTGCGCACTTTAGCCAGTACAAGAGTGCTCAGACCTTGTACGACGCTGTAGGTGCACGCTAGTCCTCCCCTGCCACTACTGCGCTTAGCCGCCTCATGTTGTCGTACCTCTTCCCTGACCTTGCTGCCTTTCCCACAGTCGCTGACCTCATTACGCACCTCCGCACTAGTGACACTCGCTACCGCGCTGCGCTTCCTGCTGACTTCTGCACCAAGAACCCTCCCCCCCCCCATGTACATCACCCTCTACTACATAGTCACCCGGCTCCCTGACTCCCTTCGCGTAGTCAGGGACCACTTCCTCTCAGATTGCCCTACCACACTCACCGTTGACCTCCTCGAGGAGCGCCTCCTAGCAGCAGAGAAGAGCATAGTCGCTGTAGGAGCCTCTCATCGTGACCCTCGCACCCCCGTCTTTGAGGGGTGTTCCTCTTCCCCCCTCTTGCCCTCTGTTGCTTCTGCTACGACGGCCGGCCTTGTTGGTTTTGAGTCGGTCGGCGCGGCGTCTGCCTCTAGCGGGAGACGCCGCACCGGCAAGGGCAAGGGGGGCAAGGGCGCTGGAGGGACTGGCGGGGGCGGAGGTGGTGGTAGCAGTGGAGGCGGAGGAGGGGGTGGGGGTGGTGGTGGGAGTGGTGGAGGGGGTGGAGGTGTCGGTGGCAGCAGTGGAGGTGGAGGAGGCGGCGGCGGTGGCGGAGGGAGCGGAGGCGGCGGAGGTGGCGGAGGCGGCGGAGGTGGCAGAGGCGGCGGCGGCAGCGATGGAGCTGGTCGCGGCTCTACGCAGAGGAGTGGGTCCGGTGGTGGTCCGCGCCAGCAGCAGCAGCGCAGTCGTGAGACCCTCTCCCCTCAGCAGCTACGTGAGTGGAACGCTGCGCGTCAGCGCGGTGGGGGTACTGGTCCCTGTACCTACGTCCTTTGTACCAGCGACCGCGCTGGTTAGCAGTGCAAAGGCCCGCACTCCACCCAGCACTGCTTAGGCCGCCTGACGGACGCGTGGCGTCACCAGTTCCCTGACGCCACAGAGATCCCTTGCTGGGGAGAGCTGTCTAGGGCGGGGATTTCTATCTTTGATCTTGACTATGATGCTATTCTTACTGCCATGTATGCTGTGTCTGATAGTGTTGAGGGTGACTGTTACCTGTGTGTTCCGCCTGACCCGGGCATTGAGGCTGGTGCTCTAGGTGCTAGTGCGTTTGCTGCCCCAGGTGCAGGTGAGTCTGCTCTCTCAGGTACTACGTCAGCTCAGGCCTCACACACCTTCACCCTTGACTCGGGTGCTTCCCGCTCCTTCTTTCGAGACCGCACCACGCTTACGCCGCTTAGTCGGCCGGTTGCGGTCTCCCTGGCGGACCCCTTGTCAGAATCCCAACCACTAGACCATTGGGATAAAAGGGCTTGTTTCAGTAGCGGGTCAGTGCGCCCATAACCCTCCAGGCAAACGCGCCTGTAACCCCCCTTAGGATCGATCGGGGATCTCACAGTGTAGCTCTACTAACACCCCCCCACACTGGGAGGCCCAGGATTGAGCACAATGGCAACGGCCAACATGTGCATACACCGGGATTCGAACCCGAGACCGCTCTGATACCATGTCAGAATCCCAACCACTAGACCATTGGGATAAAAGGGCTTGTTTCAGTAGCGGGTCAGTGCGCCCATAACCCCCCAGGCAAACGCGCCTGTAACCCCCCTTAGGATCGATCGGGGATCTCACAGTGTAGCTCTACTAACACCCCTCTGGGGGTCCTATCCTTGCTAGCTTCTCCATTGTCTTACCGTGCCCGGCAGCCCCCTCTAGCACCCTGTCAGGTCTCTACCTCCCCTCGTTCTCTACGAACTTGGTGAGTGGAGCTGATCTACACGTCAGGGGGGTTTACCAGTTCACTCGTGCGAGTCAGCGGGTGACCCACTGCACGTGTGCTCGGACAGGCCGACACTTGGCCACGTTCACCCGTCGGCCGGGGTCGAGCCTGTACACACTTACTACTCAGTCTCCTTCGACTGTTGAGTCTAGTCAGGTAGCTGCGTCGAGTCAGGTGCTTGCTGCAGCGTCCACGTCTGGTCCTGAGTCTGCTCCCTGCTCGTGTCGTCTCCTGTCTCACCAGACTCTCCTTTGGCACCACCGCCTTGGTCACCCCTCCCTGCCTCGTCTCCGAGGCATGGCCTCCCGTGTCCTTGTCTCTGGTCTTCCCCGGTCTCTCCCTCCCCTACCTCCAGGGCCTGCCCCTATTTGCGTCCCCTGCGTCGAGGGGCGACGGCGCGCCGCCCCTCACTCCTCCGAGTTTCCTACGACATTGGCTCCGCTGCAGACTCTTCACATGGACATGTGGGGCCCCGCCCGCGTCCGTGGACAGGGGCACGAGCGTTACTTCCTGTTGGTGGTTGACGACTACTCGCGTTACACCACAATCTTCCCCTTGCGCAGCAAGGGTGGCGTCACTGAGGTGTTGATCGACTGGATCCGCGCAGCTCGTCTCCAGCTCAGAGACAGTTTCGACTCGGACTTTCCTGTTATGCGTCTGCACTCTGACAGAGGCGGGGAGTTTTGCTCTACCCGTCTCGGAGCCTTCTGTCGAGCATAGGGCATCCGCCAGACCTTCACGCTTTCGGCCTCTCCACAGCAAAATGGGATTGCTGAGCGCCGCATTGGTATGGTCATGGACGTCGCTCGTACGTCCATGATCCATGCGGCTGCCCCCCATTTTCTGTGGCCGTTTGCGGTTCAGTACGACGCGCATCAGCTCAACTTTCAGCCCCGAGTCTCCTTTCCTGAGACCTCCCCCACCTTGCGGTGGATGGGGAAGGTTGGCAATGCGTCTGCGTTTCGGGACTAGGGATCTCGTGTGTTTGTTCGCGACTTGTCTGCGGACAAGCTGTCCCCCCGTGCTGTTCCCTGCGTCTTCCTTGGCTTCCCCCGTGACGCGCCGGGGTGGCAGTTTTACCACCCCACCTCGCACCGTGTTCTGTCCTCCCAGGACGTCACCTTTGACGAGTCGGTTCCTTACTACCGTCTCTTCCCCTACCGCACTGCGCCCCTCCCCCCGCCGCCGCTCTTCCTTGCGCCAGATCCTCCCTCGGTAGACCCCCTCACCCCTCAGGATCCTGCCTCGTCAAGGATGTCCCAGGTAGACGCAGTCGAGCCTGTCGAGGTAGCTGTTGACTCTGGTGCAGCTAGAGGTGCTGAGCCTGCGGGTGCCGGGTCTGGAGGTGCTGAGCTTGAGGGTGCGGAGCCTGGGGGTGCTAAGTCCAGGGGTGCGGAGCCTGGGGGTGCTGAGCTTGGGGGTGCTGAGTCTAGGGGTGTTCAGCCTGGGGGTGCTGAGTCTGGAGGTGCTGAGCCTGGGGGTACGGAGCCTGGGGGTGCTGGGTCTGCTCGTGTGGCCTCTCGCGGTGCTTCGTCGAGGCGGGAGCCACTCTCTCCGCAAGAGCTGCGCGAGTGGTTTGCCCGGCGCTAGAGCCATGCTGCTGGAGATGGAGGCACTACTGTTGCTGCTGGTCTCGGAGGTGCTAGTACTGGCGGTACTGGAGCTGCTGGGATTGGGGGTGCTCCTAGGGCTGCTGGAGTTGGTCCTGCTGGAGCTACTGGTCCTGCTAGAGTTGGTGCTGCTGGAGCTGCTAAATCTGGAGCTGTTGAAGGTGTTGGCGCTCGAGGTGCTGCTCGCGCTAGTGCTTTTAAGGGTGCTGGAGTTGGCGCTGTTGGAGCTGGAGGTGCTACCGGCGCTGGTGCTGCCGCTGGGGGTACTTGTGCTGTCCCTCCTGTTTCTGAAAGGCGCTGCGCGGCCGCGACCGTACTTTGTTCCGCTCCTTGAGCAGGTTCTTGGTCTTCCGCCTTCTACTGGTCCTGCTCCTCCCTTAGCGTGTCCACAGCCTATCCAGTCGCAGTTCCAGTTACAGCCCGCCTCCCCTCTACCTGCTCCTTCTCCCTACACTGGTCCTACTGGAGGTCTTGCTGAGCGTCGTGAGCCTGCGTCTTGTCCTGCGTTGCCTGTTCGTGCTGCTCACACTAGTAGTCGTGCTCCGCGTCCGCGTCCTCCTGCGGTCCCAGGCACACACCAGATGGCACTGCGTCCGTCCACTACTCCTCTGCGTGTCCCGTTGCCGTCTCATCTAGGGTCCTCTCTTCCTGCTCTTGTTGACCCGGAGTCTGACTCCCTTTGTGCCGCCAGTCCTACTGTCACGCATCTTCTCGCTACTGCTGTCACTGACCCTTCCTTTGAGTCCACTGCTGCGTCAGGCCTAGTTGCTAAGCTTGTCGACTTTGCTGCTCGTTGTCGTTTAGACTACGCTGCTAGTCTTGTTGCTGAGTCTGAGTCTGTCTGTCCTCCGTCTGACGAGTGTGAGTGTGCTCTTAGCACGGACGTCCTTAAGGACAGGCAGGAGGAGTTCCAGTGTTTTGCTGCTGCTTTGCCTCATCTCGTGTCCACGCTAATTGCCCCTGAGGGGGACCTGGATGCACCAGATATCCCGACTCCTCGATCGTACGCTGAGGCGATCAAGGGTCCCTACTCCTCTCAATGGCAGTCAGCCATGGACGTAAAGATGGCTTCCTGGAAGTCCACAGGCACCTACGTCGACGAGGTTCCCCCACCTGGGGCGAACATCGTCAGTGGCATGTGGATTTTCATGGTGAAGCGGCTGCCGGGTTCTCCGCCTGTCTTCAAGGTGCGTTACGTGGCTCGAGGCTTCAGTCAGCGGCAGGGAGTTGACTACTTTCAGACCTTCTCTCCCACCCCGAAGATGACCACTCTTTGGGTGCTGTTGCACATAGCCGCTCAGTTCGACTACGAGCTTCACTCTCTTGACTTCAGAACAGCTTTCCTGTAGGGCGGCCTGCACGAGGAGATCTGGCTGCGCCGCCCACCTGGCTTCACTGGGTCGTTTCCTCCTGGTACCCAGTGGAGCCTCCGGCGGCCAGTCTACGGTCTCCGCCAGGCGCCCCGTGAGTGGCACCACACAGTGAGGACTACACTTGCGGCTCTTGGGTTTGCTCCTTCTACAGCGGACTCGTCGTTTTTTCTGCGCACCGACACCTCTTTGCCGCCGTTCTACATCCTCGTGTACGTCGACGACTTGGTCTTTGCCATTGCTGACACTCCTGGACTCGCCCACGTGAAGTCCGAGCTGCAGAAGACACACACGTGCACAGACCTGGGTGAACTGCGCAGCTACCTTGGCTTGCAGATCACCCAGGACAGAGCACAGCGCACCATTGCCCTGACTTCGTCACACATGGTGTAGCAAGTCCTTCAGCGCTTTGACTTCACGTACTCCTCGCCTCAGGCCACTCCTCTGTCTACTCGCCACTTGCTCTCAGCTCTGCCTTCGGATGAGTCCATAGAGCCGAGTGGCCCGTACCCAGAGCTTGTTGGCTGCCTCATGTACCTGATGACCTGCACACGACCTGACCTTGAATACCCTCTTAGCATCTTGGCACACTATGTTGCTCCTGGGAGACACCGACCAAAGCACATGGCTGCAGCAAAGAGGGTGTTGCGCTACTTGTGCAGTACATCGGGCATTAGGCTAGTGCTTGGGGGGCGACGTTGAATAGTCCTTGACCAGTTAACAGTTCGGTAACACTCATATTGGAAATAAGAAACAAATACAAAAAGGATTCAAATGGTTTCATATTTCCTTAACAGGGTAGATGTCCTATTACGAGAATGATTACCAGTGTATTCAAAAGATAAGCACGATATATGGGATGCAAAAGACGCTGTTGAATTCGATGTACTCTTTATAGCAATAACGTAAATCAAATTTCCTATTGTAGAATCAGGTTACACGATCGCGCGACTTGCGTAGCACCTGTCGCGTCACCAAGAGCGAACCGGTAACGAAACAAAGTTACACATTACACCCTAGCATCATATAACAAGAACACACAAAATCAGAGGAGGATATTACGCGCAGGGGAGCCACAAATTGGCGAGACTTGTACAG